AGGTAAACTGTATATAGGGCCCAAGAAGTCCTACAGGAAGAAGCTAAATACTGACAGTGTGGGCAGTGGTCACCCTCCTGTTCCCCTCTCAAACCGGATTGGCGAGCAGAGCAGTGGTGGAAGGGGGCCTTGTGGCTGTGGGCGGTTTAAGACAGGGATATTGTTCCAAACACGGACCAGTCTCTCCTCTTTGAAAATGTTCTGGCAGAATCAGTCACGCTCCCACCCTCTAAAAGGCTGGAAAAAGCCTGTATTCAAGCAACCGAACATCAATGTTTACTTACTGACTGGTGAGATTGGCGTGACAATGGGCTGCCACGTCCCCCCGACCCTCGGCATGTACAAATGTAAGGAAAAACGCTCCGGAAACCCCGCGGCAGTTCAGCTGGCGCTGACATCCAAGGCCGAATGCTCTTGGGAGGGCGGGTGGTTTGTTCCTAGGCACAATAGTTTCCAAATTGGTGCCAGCTGCACTGCGTTTATCCAATTTGCAGTCTCCGAGTAGGGCTGGAGGCAGGGCGCCAGGCAGGGCTCCGAGAGTCGGCTGCGCTGGGCTTAGGAAACCTTCAAGGCAGATGGCCAGGGTCGTTTCCTGGAATGTCTCACTGCGGTACGTGGGGCCAGGGGATCCATGCATCAGGAGCAGCGGCACCCGATCTGCTTTTGTCCGAAAGAGGACTGTTGAGAGTTTCTATGCGCTGGGCACAGGAGCATCCTGACCAGCATCTGCGCAGGGGTGGGGTGGCCCAGCCCGTGCAGCCTCCCAGGCGGCAGCTGGCCCTGGGGACAGGGCTGCCTGGGAGGGTTTGGTTTCTGGCCAACACACCCCACTAAGGGGTGGTTGGGGGCACACAGGTTTGTTTCTGCAGCGTCCAACTCCTTGGCCCCAGCGATGAAATCCAAACCCAGACAGATGCCCGGGTTCCCCGTGGAAGGGAATGTGCCGGGAGGCACAGCCTGTGGAGCAGGAAGCTGCCTGGAGCCATCCGGCAGGAAAAGTGAAGCACTGCGGGAGAAGGGAAAGGATCCGAAGCCGCAGCTCTAGCCAGCTGGAGAGCATCTCTGCTACAGGGAAACAGGCTCCCTCGCTTGGGGACGGGAACGCAGAGACCGCGGGGCCTGGGGAGTGCCGCATCGGAGGACGAGCCCACTCTTGCCCTGTTCAGAGCCAGCAGAAACGGCCGCGTCGGATGCGCCGAGCAGCTGGAACTCATCCGAAGTGTCTCCGAGGTGGCCACAGCCGCATCAAGTTCTGCGCCCACCGGAAGCGGCGGGGGGAACGGGTGGCTCGGCAGCCCCCGTCTTGCTTCGGAGGGCCGGGCAGCGCCTCACCAGGTTTCCACAGCAACCTCATCTTTCCAACCGTCCAGTAGCGGCACAGACATGAAACCGATCCCGGTAACTGATCGCTGGGTAACGGCCACACGGACAGGTCGCATTGACGCTGAAACATGCTGCGACGGAGGCAGGTGACACCTCGAGCTGCTGGACTAGAATGGCTTTTTTCCAAGGCCGTCATCTCGGCGGGTTGTTCCCAGGCTCCGAACGTTTTCCTTCTGAAGCAGACAGCATAGAGTCAACACAGGAAAGCCTCCTCCCTGCTCAGGTGAAGTGCAAGGAAGAAGCACCGGCAAAGCTGCGACTAAGAAGAGAAACTGGGGGTACTTCCGTAGTGCTGAGGGTTAGGAGCTCACCCCCAGCTAACACCCTTTTGTTACAGCCGGGAGGGGCGGGGAGCCCAGCAGGAGTTCCCAGTCCCTGCCAGAAACTGTTTATGTGACAGAGTGCAAGCAGCCAAAAAGAAGAGGATGCGAACGAACCCAAGGAACTGGTGGTCTTGAACCTCCTGAGGTGGCACATACCCAGGCTGCCCCCTGGAAGAGTCACTTGGAAACACCTGCATAGGGATAACTTCCACGTGCAGGAAACAGCATTTCACAGCCTCGTCAGACGCAGCAGTAGCT